ATGGTGCAATACGATTAAAAATGACACGAGAGACTCTTTTTGCTGCCGAATCCAGGTGGCGGACAATCAAAATTGCCAGCATCACTTCCAATTCACGAACGCGGAAACGGAGAAGCAGAACTGCAGAGGCGTGATTTGCCGGGTGAGGATAAGGTTGGAGAGCGGCTGGAATAAACTGGAGTTGGATCTATCGAGTCTGACGCAGACCGCCTTCAAACAGCAGTACGCCGTCACTCGGAGAGTTCAAATTTCCGGCAATTGTCGCCTGCGTAGGGTATACTTTATAGACAGGCACTACGAGGACGAAGAAGTCTGCCCGAAATTGTATCACAAGTTCCTCGACTCTTATATGCTGAAGTGGGGCATAAGGACGATGGAGAGGTCCACTCAGACCAACTCGAAGAGAGCGAAGAGCAAAATCAAAGGGTACAGCTTCAGGCTGTCCAAACACTTCAGCGTGGATCAGCTAGTCGGCGGGGAAACTGGCGCCAAAAGCTCGAACCTGCAGAAACTAACCGACGAGAATTTTCTGGGTAATTTGCAGGTCAAAACGGACCTGTTGATCGACGAATTCTTTGACAGGCAGTCCCCGAGGCTTCCGTGTGCTACGGAATTGAAACGGAACAGCACGTTGAAACCGTACGCTCTCCCAACGGCATCCTCGAAACAAAAACCCTTCGGCATCGGCATATCTGAGGAAGCATTGAGAAAGATCAGTGTTCCTCGGACGTTTACACAGACTTACGTATGCAACGAGGCGAAACATAAAGAGAATAACTTTCTGAAGACAATACAGGACAAGTGGAAGTACAGGTACTTCTTCCCTGAGGTAGAACCATCGGTTAACAACGACTTGTCGAGCCAGGCTGCGAAGAGGACGATGCTGGAACGCAAACCGAGGTCCCTTCTTTTATTGTCTGAATCGAGATCTGCAAAGGAGAGGAACTTAGGGCCGTCGAAGAAGAGCGCCGAGGTGATCAAACGTAACGGAAGCGACACGGTCGTCAATTGATTGCCAATTATCGTGACATTAAGTAACAGTGACCAATACTGTTTGTTTGGTAATTACTCTTGCCCAGTTAGGCCCAAAAATGGCACCCTAGCATTCAGAATTTACAATTAGGCTGTACTTTCTTCTTTATAATATGTATATAGAAGGAAATAAACGTCGTTAAAACACTTTTACCTGTCGGATACTCTGTGAGACAGCAGCACTGACCAACGACGGTGTGGTACCAGGCCCATATTGCAAATTATGCAATTTAATGCCCACGTTTACTACCGGGTAACTTAACTTCGGCCCGTGCGAAAGCACCGTTGTGATTCCCTTCTTCACGGCCTTCATCATATTTTCTTGCATGGCTCTTGACTCAACATTCATCGAATTGTCTAATAATAAAATCTCTTTCTTCTGATGATTCGGTATCAAAGACATTGTTATCGTAACTTTCGGGCTAACGTCTGCCATCTTATACTCATAGGAGAAAGTATCTTGAATAGGTTCCGTTATGGTCTCCTTGTAGGAGATTTCCAGGGGTCCTAAATCAGCATCGACCTTGTATTCGGTTTTAATCCTCTCTTTGATAATCTCTAGATGCAATTCACCCATCCCCCCAAGCACGATCTGACCGGTCTCTTCGTTTTGCGTCACCCTCAAACTTGGGTCTTCCCTCTCGAGTTCCTGTAGAGCCTTGTCTAAAGCTACCTGCGCAGACAACGACGGTGCCTCGATCGAACAGAAGAAGACTGGCTCTAACGCTCTCGAGTTGCTATCGAATATCCTTTCCACATCTTCCGGAGTAACACCTTTCTCTGCTCTTAGTTTCTTCTCTGCTTGTCTCGTTGCTTTCAGATTCGTCGTCACCAAGTCCCCAGCCATTGTACTTTTTAATCCTGTTATCGCTGCAATGTTGCCGTCCGTGATCTTTGCTATTTCTTGGTACTCGTTGGCACACGCGATGTAGAACTTTCCTACCGGTTCCTTGTCCTCTGTCCGAACGTTATACAGCTTCATGCCTCTCTCTACACTGCCATTGTAAATTCGAAAAAATGTAATCGGCCCCTTTTGTTTGTCGTGTACAACTTTGAATGCTCTGGCGCAAAAGTTGTTGTCAAAACAACGGTAATGCACGGACGATTTACTACTGTTCGGTGATGGTAAATACAAGAGAACGCTGTCCATCAGAGGTTGTACTCCAATATTCTTGTATGAACTACCCAACAGCACAGGAACACCCTTTCTGCTTATAGTTGACCTCCTCAAGGAATCGATTAACATTTGTGGAGCTACAGCATCCAAGGATTCCTGTTCTATGATTGTGTCAGCCAATTCGTCATCCATATTGGACAATTTATCCGTTAAACTTCTACGTTTTTCACTCGCTATTTCCCACAAAATTTCATCCTGGTTCTCGGATAATTTTACCTTGGCGTATCTCATACCCATGTCTTTCTTGTCGAACATCAACTTTTCCATGGTGATAACATCCACGATCCCTTCTAAGTTTCCCTTCTCTTTAATGGGAAACTGCGTGGGTAACACTTCTGTGTTTAACTTTGACTCGATGGATCTTAAACAGTTGTCAAAGTTAGCATCCGACCTGTCCATCTTATTCACATAAATAATTCTGGGTATGTCATATTTGTCAGCCTGTCTACAAACTGTCAGTGTCTGAGCCTCGACGCCTGCGCTTCCATCCAATATGACAACTGCTCCGTCTAATACTCTTAGGGTTTGTTCCACTTCCATGGTGAAGTCGATGTGTCCTGGAGTGTCAATCAAATTGATACGGTAGTGTTTCCATTGAAATGTCACCGCTGCGGAAGTGATAGTTATGCCACGCTGACGCTCCTGATCCATGTAATCTGTCACTGTATTTCCATGATGAACCTCCCCCATATGTTTAATAAGGCCGGAATAGTACAACATTCTTTCCGTGGTGGTAGTTTTGCCTAAAACGTCACGGTCAATATCGTAAATTCATTTATGTAGAAATTTTTATAGGTTACCTTTATGAGGGAAACATTGCCAAACGAACCAGCGTCGATGTGTGCCAAAATTCCGATATTACGAATTCTCGTGATTTCCAGTTCCTCGTGTCCTGTTTTCACGATCGTTGAACCTCTCGACGCGCATCTTTTTTGAAACCTTCTGAGCCACGGGTTTTTCGTTAACTTAGACGTCAACATGATTTCTAACCTATACGTTTGAAATTGAAGCGCAAAACAAAGTCACGTGGACAATAATTAGATCACTTAGCTCGTTCAATTTGTTGGAAAGAAGTAAAATATTATAACATTAATTCAAACGTTTATTGTTTACTGTTTACAAATGACTACTTGTATCTAGCTTTAATGGTTCTTTCATCGTAATAGCTGTTGTACTTTTTCCATTTTCTTTTCTGTGAAGGATGAAGCAGACCACCTTTGGGTGATCTTCTTAGCATTAACCCTGCGAACATAAATGTTTTGCATTATTTGTCCTAAAATAAATTATTTATCCTGTGTGTTATTGCTTTTCATCTACAGACCTGCGTATTGAGCCATTATTATCAATGAGCTAATTCTTTTCTGTTGCATTTTGCAAAGACCTGTGATTCTTCTTGGTAATATATTTCCCTCCGATGTGACAAATTGGCTTAAGATAAGAACATCCTGAAAGAAACAGTTCCTTAGGGGCAGGAGAAATTATAACGCAGAAGGAATTCAAACTCTTACGGTATGTTTAACATCGAGGCCAGCAGAACAGATAGTACATGCCCCATTTTTAGGTTTCAGGAATCGTTCTTCGTAGGGATCTGGCTTTATTACGGCTTCGAAAGTTAAAGTGTTCCCTTCTTTTTTCTGGATAACTACAAAGTAAATTCAGAATTATAGGTTAGGAACGGAAAATTGAACGATAAATGATGATATGCATTAATTAACGCTAATATACAATAATATTTACTTTCTTTAATACGCGTTGTCGCAGATAACGATATATTTCTATTCTGTGCCGTCGATATAAGATTTTTCCCCAAATAATTTAAAACACGATATAACGCAGCCATTTCAATAATATTTACAAACTAGTTCTACGTTTATCGTAGGAATGAAAAATACACACACAAAAATTATTAATTGCCTAACATTATGATAAATTCGCAGTCGTTTTAGTACAAATATGCATGAAGTAAATTAATATTTATTTTTGAATACGAATTGTCTGCTGAAAACGAAACAGAAAGGGATCGACCGCTTTAATCTATTAAGAGAAATCTTGAAATCATATGCATGTATTTTATGGATCAAATGGCATACAAAAAGAAAGCTGAGAGTTTAATTTCGAAGATGCAATTGCAAAAATTCGCAAATTAATCCTCTCAAGTTTTTTCTGTAAATGAAAATTTGTTCAATTTATGGACATTAAAATGCTAGCGCCGCGTAGCGGTGAAACATTAGAACTGAATATATCATTGCTTGTCACACACCATTGCGCGCCTTGCTGTATACAACATATTTCTATCCTTATCACACTCTATCGCTCTTTGTCTTACAAAATGCTGCCATCTATCGTTCTTCTTGTAAATGTTGCACAGTAATGTCTTCTGTCTATGCTATCTCTTATTGTCACTGAAATATTGGAACATAAAATTTGTAATTAATTCGTGATTATGAGACACTCTGTTCTGTACTTTATTTATGAATTTCACAGGAAAAATTTTAAATTTAAATCAACACATTTATTACACTAAGTTGATAATTTCTGAAACGAATGTCGGATCTATTCAATGCCTAGTTCATGCTTGTCGTTCTATAGTTGCGCACCGTTCGTGAAAAATGTCAGACGACGTGGCCGATGAAACATGGAAGCCGTGTCACATAATGTAGCTTAAAGATTTTTGCAACACCATGCCGTATTATGCGAAAGTAACCGATTCCAAACGTGCTTTTAATTAACTAGTCTCTTATTCTATAATTTAATAATTTATTTAATGTTATAAACACGTTACTTCCATCATAATCATGGGATTGTGCAAGTGTCCAAAAAGAAGAGTTACAAATCTGTTTTGTTTTGAACACCGTGTCAATGTCTGCGAACATTGCATGGTTACGAATCATCCAAAGGTATTGTATCATTAATCGTGAAATTATTTAGAATTAAAAAATGTGATTATAAAGAATTATAAATGTTAGATTAATATTAGAATTATAAAAAGTTATTATAATTATAATTATAATAACTTTTAACTTGATAACATTATAAAAGTTATTATAATTATAATTATAAAGAGTTATAAAGAATTATAAAGAACTGAAAAATCATGAACAAGTGAATTTGACATTCTTTTTTTCTTTGTTGACATAAGGTCCACTGACAGATACTTATACCTTTTTTCAGTGTATTGTTCAGTCCTATATACTGTGGCTCCATGACCACGATTACAATCCTATTTGTGCGTTATGCTCAGTAAATCTAAGCGAAGGAGATTGCGTACGATTGACTTGTTATCACATGTATCACTGGGCATGTTTGGACAAATATGCGAGAGAATTACCAGCAACTACAGCACCGGCAGGATACACATGCCCAACATGCAAGGAACGCATTTTTCCTGACTCGAAGTTAGTTTCTCCTGTGGCTGATGTGTTGAGAGAGAAGTTGGCTGGTGTAAATTGGGCAAGGGCTGGTTTAGGTTTACCATTGGTAAATGCATTGATACTTATCTGTGCATAATATATGGACAATTGTGTATTAAAATTCATTAAAAATCTTATAGCTCAGTGAAGACAGAGAGCAAAAACCAGAGCCGGAGCATCCTTCGTTGAGAATTGAGACCACGTCATACCAAAACCATGCATTAACAACATCATCACCGTCGACAGCTACATCGCGTACTATTAGCAGTGTAAATTCAGTTCACAGTAATATAAATAATGTGCATTTGAACAATCAGAAGATTGGACCACCATACTCAATTGTAAATATCGATTCGTCCATGGGATTGTCGCAGCCGACGTCGAGGAAAGTTTGCGAAGCTTACGACGATCCCAAAGAAATGTCGTTCGATCATGATGAGAATAAATATAGGAGAAAGTCTGCCGTTGAATGGTTCTTGAGGTGGTGGAAGTTGATAGTTAGCCCGCCAACGCGGCGTAGGAACACAGCCGGTTCACTATACATGAGATACACGGTGCTAGGCGTCATGGGAATATTAGCTTTCATCGGAATGTTAATCCTGTTTTCATGGCTTGGAAGAATGGCCACCGACGGCGATCCAAGTTATGATCTTCGCGCTGATCCCAACGTTTTAGTCGACGATAAACCCGTTATTTAATATACTCGGTCTTTCAGAGTGACATTTGAAAGCAAAGTGTAAGAGTATCACGTGAACGAAAACGTATAATATATGTGGAAGTAATAATTGATGCTTGTAAGATAACGAAATAAGTTTGGATTATATGTCGAAAGAAGATTATATGTACTCACACTGTTTTATGATTTCATTCTAAAAAAGTAATTAGCTAAGGTACAATATATTGCTAGCCTTAATATTTGTTAACCTTTATGTAAAGTATACCTTAATATTAAGCTGTATATTTCACTCTGTAAAGCCTTATAAATTTGCAACAAGTTTTGTGTAATGATCATACGAACGAGTTTTTTATACTATCTTATGCGACAAACGAAAACAAAAAAAAGAAGTGCCGCTAATATGTAATAGAAACTATTGATAGGAACAAACCGTGTGCAGTAAAAGATTTTACAATTGTGATAGAAATTTTAATTAGAAACGCGTTATGTCATTGTTCATGTTATTTCGTTCATTTTAAAACACGCACGATTTATTTAAAAACAACAATTTTATGATGTCGATTCTAACATTCTCAATTCCGATTAGGAAACTAGAATTGAATGCACATACGTTAAAAAGGAAGAATCTTTTAAACTGACCTAGTAACATTTTTATCATAGAACTGCGGTAGGAACGATTTAGGAAATTCATGGTATTTCGTTTATTTATGCATGATGTGACGCGTTTACAATTTAAATGAGAATTTCGCGACCGATCCGAGAGAAGTATCCGTTCATGAAATATTAAAATCTCTTAACAGATCAAACTCTGATACACGGAATCAATTTTATATGAAAGGAAAATAGTTTATAGGAAGAAAAAAAAAAGAGAGAAACCTTTACTTTTGTAATAAATAGAAATATTATACGATGCTTAAACGATTGTCAAATTTTGCGTATTCCTGTTTAAATTTTAAAAGGATCCAACGTGAACCGTGGCAGAGGAGTGGGGATATTTCGTTTTCTTTCTTTTCACGTCCCATAGCAGCCATTTGCAGTCAAGACGAGGACACTGTCGTTTCGACTCATGTGCTTATTTTTATTTGAAGTTCTGATACCTGTTGCTTACGACTAGTGATCAAGTGGTGATCATAGTGATTTCTATATTGTGAATTCGTAGATTAACTACAGTGAGAACATTCTTATTACTAACAGTTTTAATGATAACGTAAAACTGAAATTGATATTCTTAATATTTTGCGTATATTAACATATCAGACTTTTGTTTCTCTTTACTGTGTTAAATAATATCATTCGTATCATTCTTTATTTTTTTATTTTTTTTTCTCTGATAAAGAATTTATGCGTACAAATAAAGTGCAGGAAAACTTTCAATCAACAAGTCGAAGCAGCTTTATCTTTAGGGTGAATTACCAAGACTGATAGCGCGCACTAATTTTAAAATGAAATTAATGAAATGTATCAAAAGGTACTCTACGATATTCGTAGCAGATCTAACGACTTCGGTTGGTCTCTTTTATTTATGGAACAAGGGATATAAACAGTTTGTCCCATTCGCGTCTCTATGTGGTATTGGTAAGAACCTAATAATCTATCAATCGATTTTTATTAATGATATATAAATTTTTTATAAGAAGTAAATGAATAAAACCAATGATAAGAAGATACATACTAGAATGAAACTTACGTCAAACGCATCTTTGAATTATAAACAGGCGTGCGTTCATTTTATTATTATCTCTTTATCTACTTACCAGTGGATTTTATCAAAATGCGCCATCAGCAAGAATATGCAGCAGTGATTCTGTGCAATCATGATGTTCTGTTGATACGATGAAAATTCAAATTGAAAGTTATTGTAAATAATTTTAATAAAGAATGTAACACTATCTTCGAAACTGTCAATTAATACACGTACACAGGGAACTTATATTCAATCACTTTGAACTTTCATATTAACACTGTAATACATTTTTAAATATTTTTTCTGATATACATGTGTGTCATTATGTGTTATCAAGATTCCAAGAAAAGAAATCTTTTTATAAACAATCTTTCAGGTGCTTCTTACCTATACTGTCGCCTAAAATCTCGAAGTAAAATATCCTCGAACCATGCGATTGTTATTACTGGCTGCGGTTCGGGGTTAGGATACAGTCTGGCTCTGCATTGTCGGGGACTCGGAGCAACTGTAATTGCCGGTGTATTGCAAATGGGTTGTCCTGGGGCTAAGCGGCTGGAAAGCGAAGGCGTACTCGTTTATCCTTTGGACATCACGCTAGTTAACAGCGTTGAAAATTTCACGAACTCCGTTCGGACGATTTTGACGGGAAGAAACTTAAGTAAATCATTTTCCACGATCTCAAGGCTGTGGTTACGGTGAATGCGTATCCCAACGCTAATAAATAGAGCATCTGAACATCGAGATGCATGTATTCGCATTTTATTCGTAATTCTCGGTGAGAAAAGTTCGTGTACAAAACTCGGGGATTTTTCTCTCTAGTTTTATTTCGTTTTAATCCGTGGACTGTAACCATAGCTTAAGAAAGATACAATCATAGATATAATATTAATCTTTAAATTAATAAAAAAAAAAAGATAATATGAATATGAAAGAGTATTGGAAGCATATAGTATGATAGAATACCGGTTTCAGCGTTACGATGTTTGATCAATAACGCGGCTGTGATGGTCTTCGGTGAATTTGAATGGCAAACAGACGAGCAGCTGAGGAATCAAGTGGAAGTGAACTTACTGGGTACCATGAGAATTACTAGAGAACTGATGCCGTTGATCCGCGCCCACTTTACCCGGATTATCGTAGTCTCGAGCCACTGTAACATGCAGCCGATTCCTGGTGTAGCGGTTTACAGCGGAACCAAGGCTGCCCTCAGTGCTTGGGCTACTGCCATTAGAGTGGAGTTGAAGAAGTACGGTGTCAAGGTCGTTTGCTTTGTTCCTGGTACGTGATCAAAAGCATAAAATCTATCGAAATTAATATTAAATACAAAATTATATGTATAATTATATTATATTATAATTATATTATAATATGTATAATTATAATATAATTATAATTTAATTATATTATATTAGTACAAAATTATTCTGCAGAAGGAAAAAAAGAAAAACGATTTCATGCAAAGAATATCTTCTTCAGTTTTTCTGTTATTGATTACTTCTTTTTTTTTTTTTTTTTTTT